TACTAACCATCGTCCTAACTTAATATGTAATTTACCAAATTGCCCATTTTGAATTTCAAAATCAAACACAAAACAAACAACTCCTCCCCCCTTCCATAAATCTAAAAAAATATATAAACCAAAATTCAACAAATTATCTTATGGATCGAATTAAATCGTAGTAAAAGAATAGAAAATTATTGGTATAAACCAAAAACAAATCCAAAAAAACCCAAAATCCCTCAACCAAAGCCAATTTTCGGTTGTACCATGGCTCAACCTAAGGCAATTTTCGGTTGTACCATGGACCAACCGAAAATCACCTTCGGTTGCACCATGGACCAACCGAAAATCATTTTCGGTTGAGCCATGGTGCAACCGAAGGTGATTTTCGGTTGGTCCATGGTACAAACGAAAATTGCCTTAGGTTGAGCCATGGTACAACCGAAAATTGGCTTCAGTTGAGGGGTTTTGGAATTTTTTTTGAAAAAAATCAGATTTTTACCTCGTCGGAGTCGCTACTCATGATTCGGACGTATTCTCAACGATTACGACTCGAGAATGTCAACAATGAATTCGAGAGTGTGGGAAATTGAGTGTTTTTCATTTTTTTTAGTTAAAGTGATGTTTGTTTGCTAAAAATGCCAAAAGGTTAAAAGTGTAACTTTGTTATTTTTTAGGACGATCAATAGTAATTTTAAGGACGACCTTTATCAACTCCCATGAAATGCAACGTTGAGGAAAATTAGTACTACAGAAGTAAACTCGAAACTCGTAAATTAGAATCCAACGGTTGTGAGGGCCGTACGACATCAATTCTTTTAGACCATTTACGATATAAAATACGTATATGAGTTCACAACATGCTCATAAATATATTTGTATAATAAGATACGTACTCTGACTGAAAGAAAGGTTTTAATTTTCAATTTTCATTAATTTGTGTAATATAACGATACAATAACATAACATGGACTGCAACCAATTCGTGTGTCTTAATTCGTTGATTTATTCATGAGTTATTATCGTTAAATGATTAATATATGTGTGATAGCTGGCAAATTCTATAGAAAATGTTTGAAATATTACAAGTGAATGGATGATAAATAAAACTCCTTTGCACAAACTTATATGTTCCTAGTTCATGGTAATGATTTCTTGAGGTTGGCATAGAAGGGACTCGCGATGAATGGATTTGGTACAAGTTTTGTACATCGGGGGGAATCCAAGAGCAGGTGGTCATGTGCCCTTTCTTCCTCCGCTGATTATTAATTTTAATTAATTAATTAATTAATATGGTAAATCATATAAATAAAGTAAGTGGAATGATGAGGTGGAAAAATAAAATTATTTTTTCAATTTTTTTAATTTCATGTCTTCTAGTTAACGATAAAACTTTATAGTTGACTGTCATGTAGGAAAAATTTAACAGAGTGTAACGGCAGATGAGTAATGGTCAAACGATTCGTAAAGTTAGTGACAAATAAGAAAGAGAAATAATTTGGGAAGTAAACATGAAAGATTTGTATAATTTGACTGACCAAACGTGTAATTTAACCCTCTAAAAACATAAAAAAAACTCATGTATTAACCCACCATAACTATATATTTGGTAAATATATATACTAATATTATTAATTACACTCGATCAGTGATGACCTGAAACTTCTACAAAAAAAAAAAAGTGATGATCTGGAACTGCAAGAGGAGGTCGGAGCTGGCTTTGACACGGCCGCGGCGGTTGTCCCAGAAACGACGGCGAGCGGCGTCGACTTCTTCCCGCTCTTCGTCGGTGCCGGCGTCGGGATCGAACTCCCATGTCTGCCTCCCGCAGAAGTTGTTTTTGCTGAAAAGGTATGGCTCATTCCCTCCTTCCGCAATCTTAAGCCTCCACATATTCAATATTTTATTATTTTATTTCACTGCTAAAAACAGGATCGCCCGCTTAGTTTGGATGTTGTGTCTGCAACTCGCGTTGCGTACATAGATATAAAGAAGGAACTGGGAAGAGGCGAAAGAAGTAGGGAGGATAAAATTAATAGTGTACTTTGTCTTGCTCGAGCTGCAAGTATCCATATTATCAACCCAACTGTCCTCATCTATTCGTCATGCGTATTAAATTATTTGGTCCTCTCCGAAATAGACGACTATTACTAGGGATGGCAATGGGCGGGTTTGGGGTGGATTTGCCTAAACCATCCCCATCCGCATCTTCAAATACCCAAACCCATATCCGCCCCATACCCATGCCGAGGAATGTTTTGCAAACCCATCCCCATACCCGTGGGTTTTTGCCTTTTTGGTACCCATGGGTAATACCCATCCCCGTACATCCAACATTATTATACATAAAACTTATAAGAAAAGTTTTGATTATAACCATAAACAAACCTATTATATCATGAAGTCAACAAAACAAGGTCATTTTCTAAATACGATTCAAAGAATATGATCCTAAAACATCCATTAATACATAATATAGACTACAATATTTTTTAAATTATTATGCTCTAACTCTTGATACATTTACTAAGTAATAATTAACAAACATAATCTTATTGACAAGGGGGAAAGTGAAAGAGTGGAAGGAGAATTGAGGGAAATGAATTAGGTTTTGATTAAGGTGGTTACTCAATTGCATTTCTACTATTTATTTTCTCAAGTTATCATCATCATCATTGATAGATTACAATTTAATCCACATATTTTTTGATATGTGAAGAAATTCTCTTGGTGGGGCGGGTATGGGTATGGGGCGGGGGAGGCTAAAACCATACCCGCCCCATACCCATCAAACCTTTTGCGGGTTTTACCCATACCCGCCCCATACCCGGTCAAAGCGGGGATTCCTCGCGTTGACTGGATCGGGGGCGGTCGGGTACCCGCGGCCATGGGTTTGATTGCCATCCCTAACTATTACACAAGGTTGTTAATCCAGGGTCGCCCCGAGGGTTGACTCAAATCTGGTTGGTAAAACCGGTGCTACACAAATTTTTTAGATTCCGTCCGATTTCGTCAAATATGCTTCAATCTTATTAAAATTCTGCAAAGAAGAGTTTAAACCCAGTCAACATTCTACAATATTGGTTAATGGTTTTTCATTTCATAAGACCACTTTGCTTGGCTTTTACAGGTACAATCTCACGCTGCAACCATTTTATTTCAAATTGACCCGTCGCTTTCCTTAATTAACTAGTCAAGAAAGGGAGAAATAACCTTCCATTCTGTAGGTTGCTCAGTTTGGGTCAAACCAACTTTTGTTCAACATTGTAATTAAGATTTCATGTGATTCCACATAAATAATTTTAAATTTCACTCTTCGATTGTTCAACATAAGCATTTTATTGTCTTGGAAATTTCAATATTTGGAGTAAAATCACAAATGATGAGTTCCAACTCTTCTAATCACGAGCTCTATCTATATTGCTTGGGTTGTGTTAGTTCACTTAAGTGTCAATCACGAACTTATATGATGGATTTAAATGTGTTTGAATTTTTAAATATGTTGGATTCTAGTACGAACTATTATTTTTGTGTAATGTTATTACTCATATGTAGCTGAAATTTGATATAATTTATAAATGTATAAACAATATAATAACCTATTCAGGCTAAAAGGGCTAAAATTATCGGATCATTAACCCTTCGCCACTTACTTGACAGGGCTATCGGACTAAACTGGGTTGACAACCTTACTACAATATTTCTTATTGAGATGAGCAGTAAAAATCATTAAGTTGCTAATGGTTTCTTATTTTTTTAATCTTAACCGAAACCAAAATTATTAATTTGCTAAACAGTTTAAAACCAAAAACTTAAACCGCTAATCTTGTAATTGGTTTGATTTTAATTAAAGCCAAACAAATTAAAACCAACCTGACACCCCGCTAGACATAAGTGCTTTCAAGTCATCCAATGTATCAAAACTTTAATACTTTGTGTGTTTCTTGTTCTATTATCGTCAAATTCAGTTTTAATGATTCGAAACACGCTAAAATAACAAACCAAGTATAAAACTAGTAAAAACTTCAAAATATTGATGAAATGACAAAGCATATGACATTCACTAGCTAGGGAGTGAAAACATGTACAAGTTATGACTTATCAAATTCCACCACACCTGAGCCGCGAACCCCAGTTAGATTCAGACATAATACACTTTTTAGTTCTTGGGAGAACCCAACTACTCTCCTTTGTTTTCCTAAAAACATTCAAACACAAGTTTCACCTTTACAACATTAGAACACAAGGCCGATCATAGGGGCAAGTTACAATGATGGATCACAAGTGGTCATTAACAAGTACATAAAATAGCATAACAATGACACTGACAACCACCAGAGATGATCTGACTATAATATGCTTGTGACATAGGAATTAGGAGATGCCTCCTCAGACTTATAAAATATTATGTGAACCTGAAAAATTCACTCGGTACCCTCACTCATCCGAGCACAAAAATCCAGAAAAAAATAAACAAAATTGAGGTTCCTAGGACCTCGCTGTAGTTTTTAGTCAATTGGAAGAATTCACTCAACACTCCACCAGTGGGGTCAAGAAAAAAATTATGCAAAAGATGTGCATGCTATTAACACTCAACCCTATCATCTCTCTACTATGAAGCTAGCTCATAAATATTTTCAATTCGTTTGAGTCTCCAAAAATCGAGCACCATTAACTTGTGCATAAGTATTTGCATCAGGTTGTAATGTGGCTATTGTCTAGGATATGTACCCCCTCACGTCAATCCCACAAGCCTCTTATCCATTCCCATTCGATCACGATCGAGCGAGGAGGGGGGGGGGGGGGGGGGGGGGGGGGGGAGCAAGTCAAATCCCACAAGCCTCTTATTCATTCTCATTTGATCACGACCGGGGGGAGGGAGGGGGACAGCAAGTCAGACTAGAAAACCTTGTATTGGATTTAGGAATAACCAGGCTCAAACTAATGACTTACACCATGTCAAGAAAATGTGTACCTAATGGTTAATAAGGCTCAAAGTTCCAAAAATACCATATGAGATTCAAAACAAAACGTTAAAAAATGGGTGTTTGAATATAATTCATGAATAAATAGTTCATAATGTATCTAGTGGTTAATAAGGCTCAATGTATCCAAACATCATTATATTCAAACATCATTCTCAGTTATAATGATAGGTCATAATGTATCCAAACACCCATGTTGAAATACAATATATATTTGGTTTCACCGGTATATCTTGCTATATAATTTTTTTTTTCAATAAACTTGACGACGATATTCTGCTAGAGCCCAAATCGGAAAAATATTTCTGTAAGCTCCATAGTGCAGCATACAATTCCTCATAAAAACTCCCATAAGTTCCTGCAATTATATCTCCAGATTAGTTCAATCACTACGCAAAAGAAAAATATTATATATACCAACACCAAGATTTAGCTAGTTATAATGATAATAAATCATTCATTCCCATTTTAAAGTTCAAGTTCCTTGGCAAAAGTAAGTCTTCTTTGTCAACAACAAATATAACGGGCAACATGCTCGTACCTGTTGCGGAAAATCACCCAGCTCAGTTTGTGAATTTATCAACAACCTTGCAGCAACATGAAGTGGTGCAGGATCTCTCTTTGCCTATTAGGTTTATGTCTATATTCAGTTAGTTCTCATGGTGAGGGGGAAAAATATCATTATGTCATACTAATAATACATTAATTATACATATCATCAGAATCAACCAACCTGGCCACCAAGGATTAAACCCATCAAAGCTAAAGAAGTATGGATTAAGTTTGATCGGCCAACCAGGGGAACATACTCCTACACATCATTATTAACGGGTCAAAAAATGGTGGTTATTGTATTCTTTATTAACTAGGTAAAATTATCCAGTTTTATCTACCAATATATACTATGCAGTATAATGTATATGTACCTTCTTTGGGCATGAAAGATAGCTTTCTCCCCATCCTCCATCTTCTTTTTGTGTTTCAAGAAGGAAGGCAACTCCTCTCTGAATGGCAACACAATTCTCATATGTCTTACCAACAGCAACTAACCCTCCAAGCCCAAACCATGTACCATAAATGAAACAAATTCCCCAGTTTCCATACCTATAGAGAGTGGGACAATTAGATGGTCCCTTAATCATCAAGCAACTAATGATGTTGTGTTAATGCAATAATAATTGCATTCGTATAATGAAATAATTACCATGAGCCATCAGGTTGTTGAATCTCTTCAATGAATTTCACTGCCTTGAAAATGAAATCCTCAATCTCTTTGACTCTATGTGTCGGATGCAACTTCCTAAACATCACCAAGGCCTGTATTGAGGATGAGGTGCACTCGATATATCTGTAAGAAAGAAAATCATTAAGTTAGTTTTAGTCGGTAATGATATCGTTCAATCTCATTTTACAAACTACTAGATTGAGAAGACATAAAATTATTCGTATATGTCTCTAACAATGCCGTCATAAATGTACATATACCAAGGTTTGTGAAACTGTACAGTACTGGATATTGAACCGTAAAGGTCAGCGGTAGGCCGGTATTGTATGGTGAAATTGTGGTTTGAGAGTAGTTCAACCGTTAATAACTTTGGTACTGGTATTTTGTGGTTGAACTACCGATATGGTCTCACAAATCATAATGAAAATATATATTATGTAATTACGACGACATACACAGATGTACTTACTCGTATTCAATTACAAGATCCTTCAAAAACTCCACGGGGTTAAACCACTGTTGTAGAAGAAAATGGAAAAAAAGATTAGAAAACTATAAATTGAATTCTTTTTATTGACGAGGCTTAATATAATCAGCACAAGAAAATGAAAACAAATAAAATTAAGGTATTCTTTAGGTACCTCTAACCATAATTTTTCTCCTGATGGCTCCCAGGCTGAACACCCTCCATTTTTCTTATTCTGTTAAAAAAAATTTAGAATATAATTAAAGGCAAAACAACCAGTTGAGTTATTATCATTTTCTCAACAGAGCTTTATAAATTCACCTGAAGAGAGAGTATGATATTAACCGCATCATTGAGGTTCTGGAGTTTAATTTTATCTCCAACGATGTCAGCATGCATTGTTGAGAATAGTAAGCAACACTGCATCCATTATATAGTTCATATATAACAGTAGAAACGAAAAAAGATGGATTGTATATAGCATAAACAATCAAGGGTAACTATTGATCTTTGGTACATAATCAACCAATTTTTCCATTTAATCGACCCTTGATGATCAATCTGAAACTTTCAGCAGTGCAATCTGAAACTTGCCAACCATGATCTCGATCGGAAAATGTCCAAGACCCTTTCGACGTATGACGAAACATCGCCTTAAAATCCCCAGAAGGATTCTCAACTACTTGGGAAAGCTTTAGGAAGTTGTGTCCTCTTCCAAATATGACTGAAGGTTCTTCAACCAGGTCACTGGCAAGCAAGGCTTGGAGGGCAAAACTAGTGTCCCATGTTTGACTACCAAAGCTCTGTGGAAGAAAAAAAATACATTTCACAAGTTCATAAGTTATTCATATACCAGTCAAACTGTACCATGAATAATTACCTGAAGTTTCATTCCATCCTCTCCAAGCCATAAGTAATCTGAAACTCTAGCGAGATGCTTTTTGAAGGCCAGTCCGTCGGGATCATCGACCCAACAAGCAAGCATGTTCAGTGGCTATTACAGTTCGAGCAACATCATTCTAGTCAGTAACACATAAATCATGTCGTGCAAAGTGGTAAGTAATTCATTAGATGATACATGGTCATATGACGCACTAGAAAATGCTTCTGGCGTCATTTTAAAACATCACCTAACGATGTCCAAATATGGATGTAGTCTTGCGCGAACAATTATGAAAAAAATGAGGGTTGATTGCATCGAAATGTCCTTTTTTTATTTCGTTTCTTAAAGTTACTACAATATCTATAGAAAGTCTCGATACCTACATTATCTAACATTAATCTTGACATATGAAAATGTGCCTATCGAACCTTGCAACATTTAGAAAAAGTTTTGCTACATTATATCTTCGAACATTGTTTTTCGACATGCAAAATATGTGACTTTGAAACGTTGGGACATTTACAAAAAGATTACTATGAGTACCTTTTCAACAATCCCAATGGTGATGTAGCGACTGTTCTCATCTTCGTAGTGAATGTGTTCCATCGTCCGCTCCAACGCTTTGGCTCTCATCTTGTTCAAAGGCCATCGTGCTAGCAAAGGCTCGGCAAAGTTGTAAAGTGCGTCCCATAAAAGTTTTTGTGTCACACCATGCGGATAGTAATTGTCTTCCTATAGAAAATAGCATTTCGATGAATATATAGTTTGGAAATTTGAGTATATAGTTTAGACCATTTGAAGAAAAAAAATGCTAAATAGGATATATGGTTTGGAAATTTGAACTCTATGAAGTACAACCTTTGCACATAAATGACGGACGCCGCCCCAGTTGATTTGGTCATATGGTTGGCTGTAGATTTCTTGTCTTATTTGCAGAAGAAGAGGTGTAATTCGACCAGCAAACTTCTTTCCGTAGAAGTATGACATTGGCATGAAAGTTAGTCTGCAGTAACAGAACATTTTTGCTGCCACCAATAATATGTATTAATAATTATTAGTAATCTATAGTAACAGAACATATCCTTAACTTCAACTTTCTTTGTCACAGCTTTAGGATTCAAAATATGGCACACTCTAGTTGAATTTCATGAAAAAATGGAGAATATTTTTTTTTCTTTAAATTATTAAAATCGCCAATCACGCAATAAGTACAATTGGTTTTTCGTTTATGGAATTACGTATTTGTTTATGAGATTGTGTAAGAAAAGTGATTGATGAAATTGCGTGAAAGATAGATTGTATGCTAGAGGAATTTTACAATGCTATATAGCATTATAGCATTGGTGTTATAAGTTTTTTCTTTATGGTACAATTTGAAATTGTACGTAATGGTACAACTTCAGATTGTACATATACTTTTTGTACAAATTTTGTTATGGTACAATTTAAAGTTGTACCTTATGTGATGGTACAACTTTACAACTTGAAGTTGTACCATCACATAATGATACAAATTCCTTTATGGTACAACCTAAACTTATACATTTAATGTTATGGTACAACTTCAAGTTGTACATTAAAGCACCAATGCTATATAGCATAGTAGAAGTGCTCTGCGTAAATATAGGTTAATTTGTGTAATTAATTGATAATTTTTTTTGGGAACGGATCAGGTCAGTAACCATGAGTAACCTGTCTACATCAGGATGACATCAGTATCCTCTATCTCCTGGAAACTCTTTTATATTTTCCCCTTCAATCTTTAACGGACGATTTTTCTTTCGTTTTAAGTTGAAATTTAATTTTTTTTTGCATAGATAAATCAGATTAATTGTGCTCTTTAAAATTATATTCACTTTGATATATTTTTAGTACAAAAAAATTGAATAATTTTTTACCAGTCATTACCATATGGTATGCTCCTATTTAATACCATATGGTATGAAAGTGTACCATGATGATATGAACATACCAATATGGTAAGAAGGTTGAATCATGATAGTAGGAGTATACTAACTATCATTTACGACTTTCATCATTGTTTACTACAAGTTACCACTAGGGATGGCAAAACTATCCGTAACTGTGGATATCCACCCGAATCCGGCCTAATCGGGTAGGGTAAAACCCGAACCCGAAGGACGTTTAATGGGAACGGCTATGGTGCTAATTGTACAATAGTTAGCACCGTCCTAACCAAGGGAAAAACTACTACTAGTTTGAATTAGTAGTGATTTAGCTTAGATGTTGTATTGATTTTATAATAATCCGTAGTGATTTCGTTATTTTTAGTAGCGTTTTTTGCTAGTTATCACGATGCTAACCCCTATAAGGGTTAGCACCTAATCCCATCCCACGTTTAATGGGTACGGGTAAAACCCGAACCCGAATATTTTGGGTAATGGGTGGGCATGGGTTTCTCATTATTCAACCCGAACCCGCCCGATTATACACATACATATGTTTTTGGGCTAGAAATAACCATTGTTTTTCTCTAACACATTTTATATTTAGCATATATATATAATATTTTCATGAAATTATGTTGTTTTTATTAATTTTCTTCATTCGAGTGAATTATTGTCATACTTTTCTAGACCTGGCAATCGGGTCGGGTTGGGTAATTTCGGGTTGGGGACTTCGGTTACGGGTCGGGTCATATTTGGTTGGCTGATTTCGGGTCAAATATTAACCCAACCCATTCGGTTTCAGGTCGGGTTACAGGTCATATCGGGTTATGAGCGTTCTCAGAAACAATATCAAACATGCTTCATATTTTCTTAAAGAACACAAATTTCACATATGCATAACAATAGTTTACCTAACACATTTCAATTAACATATTCTCAAATCCTTCCACGCTAATGAAATGAAATAAAAATTGCGGAAATCATCTAAAAAACAATCACAAGAGTAATACTACGGGGTTTTTCCAATAATAGCACTTTTAAAAAAAATTACAAAAATAGCATCCAGCCGAAAATATTTACAAAAATAGCACCCTCTTTTATGGACCGCACCTCGAAGGTGCGTTTTATATGTAAACCGCACCCTCCAGGTACGTTTTATGTATAAACTGCACCTTGGAGGTGCGTTTTGCGCACGTCAGACTGGGAACCGCACCTCCAAGGTGCGGTCTGTGTTTGGTGCGCAACGACCTTGGAGACCGCAGAATCAGGTGGCGATCTAGCGGACAGAAAGCACACCACGTCAGCGATCCTTGCCACGGATCGAAGACCGCAGCGCCAGAGAGCGGTCAACCCTCGGGGAGCGTAAACCGCGCCGGGAAGGTGCGGTTTTGACTGGGGCAAAATTACCAGACCGCCCCTGGAGGGTGTAGTCTGATGGGTATAAAAGCCTTGAATGAGGATGTGCCTTTTATGTATAATGAGTATATTATTTTTTAAGTCAAATGAACCTAGGACTAGCACTGACTCCACGCCCGCACTCAGAATTTGTAGAAGTACCAGTACACATGGAAAGTCAGCATTTCATCTTCATCACGTGATCGACGTTCTAAAGGACTCCAATAGGAGGGATTTTTTCAAAAGTAGCACTGTTTAAAAAAAATTCCAAAAATAGCACCCAACTCCGAAAAATTCCAAAAATAGCACCCTTTCTGCAAAACCGCCACCGTACCAGCGGTTTAGGCGAAAACCGCCACCCGGGGGCGCGTTTTTCGATGAAATCGCACTGGCAGAGGTCGGTTTTACAGACCGCACCCCACCATGCGGTTTAGTTGCATATCGCACCCCCACCATACGGTTTGGATGCAGACCGCACCCCCACCATGAGATCTGTTTTTTTTTTATTTTTTTGAAAAATCCTAACCTAGGTGGAAACTTCAAACGAACGTATCTTTGTGTTCGGGTATCCGATCGTCGCGAATGTTTTTTTGATTCCGCATAACTTTTTGAGATCTTGCAAGTCAAAGACTGCCGAAGGTGGTGTGGTCCCACCTTCGTCCCAAAAAATGTCGTTTGCTACCCCCGAACGAGCTTTTTTCCGATTTCGTCAAAAACAAGACAACGCTGTCTGTCTCAACCTCTCTGATACACAACAGACACATCCCCCAACCCGCTACATCTCCAACCACTGCGATCCCTTCCCTACTGAACATTCCAAAAGTAACTGAATAAACATCGATCCGCGCACCTATGCAGGCCCCAGACATATAAAGGTCTCTAAAGGTTGGTGACCAACGCGGTCGACAACCACCAACCGAACCAGCAACAAACAAATCAGAGTTCCATCACAACCGAGTTGGCAAATCCCATCCGATTCCAAATAGGCAACACCCAACACCCGCCCACATGCCACCCCACGCCAGGATAGAACACTACATTTAGGTCACAATGCACAGTAAAAGCAGTCGGTGTGTAGTACCAGGCCCTGCCGACATTTTTTGTCCAAAGTTTGACGAAATCGGAAAAAAGCTCATTCGGGGTAGCAAACGACATTTTTTGGGATGAAGGTGGGACGACACTACCTTCGGCAGTCTTTGACTTGCAAGATCTCAAAAAGTTCTGCGGAATAAAAAAAAATTGCGACGATCGGATACCCGAACACAAAGATACGTTCGTTTGAAGTTTCCACCTAGGTTAGGATATTACAAAAAAAAAAAAACAGATCGCATGGTGTGGGTGCGATCTGCAACCAAACCGCATGGTGGGGGTGCGGTCTGTAAAACCGCCCCCTGCCAGTGCGGTTTTCATCGAAAAACGCGTCCCCGGGTGACGGTTTTTGCCTAAACCGCTGGTACGGGTGGCGGTTTTGCATAAAGGGTGCTATTTTTGGAATTTTTCGGAGTTTGGTGCTATTTTTGGAAAAAAAAATTAAACAATGCTACTTTGGAAAAATCCCCCAATAGGAAGTTAGTTAAGTTTGGTAATTGATGAGACTAAAGAGTTTATTTAGTTTTATGAAGGCAATTGTTTTTAGTAAAATGTTACACGCAAGGTTGATCTTTTAAATTTTCAGTATTCAGTTTTCTCGTATACAATGTTTCCGCTTTATCACATATATTTAATGTTTCTTATTTGTTAAGGACATTTTGGAAAAGGTAGTACCTGACTCGAATATGATGTCACATCCGACAAAATCTATCATTTATTTTATTTTTTCAATTGAAGAAGAATTTAATAGATAATTTATATTGGTGGCTAATTCGACGCACTTACTTTTTTGGGTGCACTGGCCACTGAGTGCACCCAACTCTAAAAGTGTCCATAGTACATCAAATTTTGAATTTTAATTAGCACTCTCAATCTAATATGATGATATGACATGTAATCATAACAAATCAATCTATTACCCTCATCTCTTAACCTTCAATTTTGAATCACAGCCCAAAATTCCAAATTGTATCCCTAAACCCTAACCCTAAATCCCCAAATCCTAAATCTTTCAAATTAAACTAAATTTTGAATGATTTTCTTCAAATTCATGTGCTTCTTGTTCATAATATCATATGTAACAATTGATACCGTTTTGACATGAGTCGCATGCTTAGAATGACAATTATGAGGCGGGTGCACTGAGTATGACATACCTTGAGTAAAAGAATGATACATGGACCTTGAATTGACCAGAGTTTGGCATCTAGTAATATTCCCAAACACTTAAAGATCAAAATTAGGGGTGGCTATACGGTCCGGTCCGGTTAAATTGGACCAAATTGATCCGGTCCCAGTCTGGTCTTTTCGGGAATATAAGGACTAAAGATTGGATTGGATACAATCCGGTCCAGTCTTGACCCGGTCCGGTCCCAATTTTATCTTGATTTTTGGTGTTGGGGGCTCTTATCCGATTTTTTTACCTCAAATCTAAGCCCGAATATGAGATTGCATTGTTTGCTATCCGGTCCCAGTCCGGTCCCGGTCCGGGTTATACGGTCGGATTTCGGGTAAAACCAAACAGTCTGGGACCAAATTGCCAGCCCTAATCAAAATCTAGGTTAAAATCCTATAAATCTCATATACTAAGATCAATTTAATAAGAAATAAAAATTGACGGTTATGATTCGTTAAAATATATGCAACAATCTCCATGCACAAGCTTAGGAGTTAGGCTCTATGATTTAGAAAACTAAGACCTAGGGTTCGCTCATCAATGGTGGATATAGTATCATGCCCCAAAATCCAGTTAATTCGAGATCTAGATAGCATTTTCTTACTGAAGGTATGTCGTACCCTAAATTTTACACACGACACAATAAAAGCCACCATATATATATATATATACTTTTTGAAAAAGTTAATAATATAATAGAGAAACCATAACCTCACCTGGATGCATTGGGAAGATAGTGGGGAAGACCCAGAACTCTGGAGGCATTGGGTTGCATCCATCCCACTCATACACACCAAGGATCTGAAATTACTATTATCATTATCATCAATTCATCATCATCATCATTATTTATATAATTAGTATTATTATTTAACGATTTCTTTCTCAAGATAAGATAACTGCATGGTTACAACTTACAAGGATATAAACTTACAGCAAGCCAAGTCTTGCCCCAAGAGCTGATCGCAGTTGCAGTGCCGTGATCGAGAATCCATTTCCTTGCTCTCGCGCAAGCATTATCTTCGCCTCCGTCGGCTCCTTCTCCGAGCAGCCGCATTTGAATGTAGTTGAGCACCGTACAGAACATCATGCTGTGGCCTTCTATATGTAATCCCCATCCGCCATCCTCATTCTATTTTTACATATATTAATATTAATATTAATATATATATATATATAAAGGTGGAGTTATGTTACTGTTACCTAACAATTTACCATTTGATACCCCAAATTTAATCAAATCACAAATTAGTAACTAAAATGTAAATTTTACGTTTTAATACCACAACTTTAATATAAAATTATTGAACAATTATGTTTTGGTATGTAAATTTTATGAGATTTTCGTACCAACAATTTAAGAATCCATTAATCCATTTCACCAATCCTTTCGAACCAATCCATGAATCCAATCCACCATAACATTAATTAATATATATAAAGCTGAAGTTAGGTTACTGTTGCTTAACAATTTACCATTTGATACAACAAATTTAATTAAATCATAATTTAATCACTATAATGTAAATTTTACGTTTTAATACCCCAAATTAAATTTAAATATAAAATTATTGAACAATTATGTTTTGGTATCTAAATTTTGAGATTTTCGTACCTACAATTTTTTAAATTTACATATTGGCCCAATATTTAGATTTCACTTAAATCCATGAATCCAATACATTTATCCTTTCGAACCAATCCATGAATCCAATCCACCATAACATAAAAGTATAAATTTAGTTTGTACAATACAAGATGTTGTATCACTCAACCGTTGAAGAAGATTCAACCATTTTATATTTGCTGATTACGTGAAATATTAAATAAATGATAAAAGAGATACGACTCTAAAATATTGCAACGAATTTATAAACTCATTTAGTATATGATGTTAGCTTACTATTGCCTAAAAATTTACCATTTGATACCCCAAATTTTAATAAATCACAACTTAGTCACTGTAATGTAAATTTTACATTTTGATACCACAAATTTAATTTAAATATAAAATTATTGAACAATTTTGTTTTGGTATCTTAATTTTATGAGATTTTCGTACCTATAACTTTTAAAATTTACATATTGGCCCAATCGCTAGATTTCACTTGAATCAATGAATCCAAATAAAATCCACTAATCCTTTCGAATCAATCCATGAATCTAATCCACCATAACATAAAAGATTCAACCATTTTATATTTGCTCATTCCGTGAAACATTAGATAAATTATAAAAGAGATACGACTCTAAAATATTGGAAGAGCGAATTTCTAAACTCATTTAGTACACTTACGGGGTACTAAACAAACTTCTAATACCTACATGTAACAAAATTCAAAATATGCGGCATCTAAATAGGTAAGTGTTGATAAATTGTTACGGTGAAAAGGGTTGACTGTTGTATTGACGGCCAACTAAAAAAATTGGTCAAAACCTTTCCATCATCTACTTCCTTTTCATTTCATTTTTCATTCGTCTTTCATAACATTTTCTTTACTTTTTTCTTTGCCTTCTTCGTCTAACCCTAATTAGTATACTATTTTTATATATTCTAATCACAAGTATGAACGGGTCCATACAAGACTCACCAACAATCTAGAGAACTAATAATTAAACTATGAACCACTAACTTTTTCAGCTCAATGTCGAGCCCAATTAAAAGTAAATATATATGGTTATTACTTATTAGAAAGTCATCATTTTCCACTATAGGATTTGATATGTGTAGATATCTAGCTAAAAATTCCATGTATATTTGTTGAAAATTCTAGCCTGGGTGAAAAAGAAAAACTCTAGAGAGAAGCAAAAGGAATACAAACTTTCATCTACGAACTTCCAAACCCATATATACGTCACCCGTACCCTGCCCATAATCAATGTGTCTACTTGGGTTTAGGTAAACATCATTTACTAGCCAAAATTTTAAAAAAAAAATTTTAATTGGATGTTGACCGTCATATATCTCTTATCAGTCCATATCATATTGTCAAATCAATCTTACTAACAAAACTGCTAACGAAAAATTAATTTTAGATTAATAATACTAACAATACTGGAACACCACTCTATATATATTGATCAACCCCGCAACGCAATCTATGTCAGTCGCTCTCAAATTTCAAGTCACACTATTACTGCTATTGGAACACCACTCAATATAAATTTTGGACTACGTACCTGATGACAGTAGGTGTAGTGTAAAATTTGTTTTCGATGCTCTGCCGTTAATACCGTGTTGAGGTGCCCTGTAATATACAGAGCAAATACCTGCAACATTATATTGGATCCAACTCACATTAATTAATTATTAGCGACGAAGGAATATCAATTTCTTAATTAGGCAACAGCATATATAGAAAGGTACTCACCAGAGGCGGAGTGTAGAAGTTGACGCCGGAGTTTTCAGCACACCAATGGCCGTCGCTGGCCTGAAGAGCCCCAAAGAAACGAACGCTCCTTCTCAATGCAGCTGTCGCAGCCTCGTACGTTATCTCCTCTCCGTCTTCTACCTTCACTCTTGGAATGGTTTGCTTAAAATTTTTCTCCCTCAGAAACTGAGGAAAAAAAAATTTAGTTTATATCCTAGCTAGTAAGTTAAAAAAATCCAATTCGCATCATTTTAAACTCTATTTTTGTGATTGAAATGTAGACATCAAAATTGGATTGTGAAAATCAAATGAATTGGGCTGACAAAAGATAACAATTGAAGAAAAATAGGGAGGCCTTATGTTGGTTCGATTGTTTATAGGTTATTTTGGTCTAACCTAGTCGAATCAGCTACCAAATTGTTAGTCGGTTAATCAACATAATATTCAATAACTAACTATAAAGTTGTGGTTAACCGATTTAATTAACCTTTGTTTAACAATTAACCGATAATCGAATAAAAATAGCCAAACCAACTAACAAACCTATTTCATTCTATGATATTTTTCATGTCGAGGGATGACTATTTGAACCCGTCCCACCGGGTATTACCTGACCTAATTCGCGATGTGGCGGGTATATATTACTGGACCCGCAGTAACGTGGGGGGCGAGACATGGGTATCTACTTCTGACTCGCCCTGCTCGCCTCGTTCTTGGCCTATTCTATCTCAATTTCTTAAAATATTTATTCATATTTCTCCTATATTTTCTTCAACTACTTGGACTTAATTTTTCAACCAGTTAGACTCATTTACCCATTCCAGTATCACTATTTTCATTCGTTAAAGTGTGTCGAACCACCGCTTCATCTATCCAAGCGGGTATTACCCATCCCGACTCATACTTTATACGAAAAAAGATATGAGTTTTGATATACCCACTCCAAGCATTTGCCATCACTCTCATATCTCCGTACGTGTGGTCCATCTTCAGTAGTTTCTGTCACTTTGTATTTGGTTGGTGACTCTAATTTCTTCATCTGTTAATTAACGTACAAGCTATATTGTGTACGAGAAAATCGGTGACAATATTAAAGAAGGAACCAACACCGACGTCCTTAGCTTGGGCAGTTCGTTCAGCAAAGTGGAAACTTGAAACCAATTGTATTGATGCTAATCAAACTTTTGTCGGTACAGTCTTCTTACTTAGTGGAAAGTACTACAGGGATAAACTCGTACTAGGTTAATTAGAATCCAACATACCTCAATAGTCGATATACATGAATCAAGGGAATTTCTCAATTTTGTGTTTTCGTTATTTCTATAACTTTATGGCTCACTCAGAAAAATAACTCTAATGGTATAAACATTAGCCTCAAAAGAGCTTGAATTCATGTATACATGGAAACATTCTTTAATAAAATCACCAATCATGTCCAGTGATACCACTGATATATAACCTAGAGATCTCAAGTTTAAATTTCTTGAGTAACACCTAACTATAAAAAAATAAACGTATCACTCTTATCCCATAAAATAAAATCACAAATCATTTCATAGAAAAAAGAGGTTTGTTGTTCAAATTTTAATTTTTTCATTTGCCATAGTATAACGATACAACAACATAAAATTAAACCTATTTCAGGCACCTGCGTTCATTAATTTATTCATTTATATCATTGCTAGATAAATTTATTCAGGTGTATACCAGACAAATTCTCTAGAAATGCTTGAACTATATAATTAAATGGTGAATGTCGTTTTTCCTTCCCACAAACTTAAATATTTTTAATACGTGTAATATAATGAAATCTTTGATTGATATCGCTTTGAGAAGTTAATCGGATGATAAAATGGTAAGTTTCAAAAAATTGCACAGCATGCAAATAAAAATGAATAAAAACATTAAAAAACAAAGTCCAAACTTCAAACTCATATGTATAAACAGAACTATATATTCGATTAATATATAATGTTATTATCAAGTTACTGGATCAGTGATGACCTGGAACTGTAAGAGGAGGTCGGAGCTGGCTTTAACACGGCCGTGTCGGTTCTCCCAGAAACGACGGCGAGCGGCCTCGACTTCCTCCCGCTCTTCGTCGGTGCCGGCGTCGGGATCGAACTCCCATGTCTGCCTCCCGCAGAAGTTGTTTTTGCTGAACAGGTAAGGCTCCCTCCCGCTCTCGCCGATCTTCAGCCTCCACATTTTTTCAATATTTTTATTTCACTTTCACAACTAAAACATAATGGCCAGATTAGTTTGTATGTTGTGCGTGCAACTCTGCATACAGTTATATATAGAAGGAAATAGGAATGGTAATGAGGCAGTTCTGGGGAGGGTACCTCGATATCCATATCTGTTTCGTGGCAGATCGGGTCCTAGTCGGGTAATTTATCATTGGGTGTGGGTCGGGGCAGGTCGACCTAATGTGTTGAGGGAAACGGTATTGTTTCCATGTAGATAGGTTAGATAGGTTATTGATTCATGAATGAACCGGTTAGATAGGTTAGGAGTTAACCAGTGTATAGTTAGTTGAGTTGTATAGAGTCGTATATAAAGGGAAAGTAATCTCCCTGTACAGATACAATTTCCAGTTTTCTCTGTTCAAACAATCGATCTGTTAAGACTTTGACATGGTATTAGAGCCATCAGGGTATTCTTGATTTCTCTTTCGTTTTTCCTAAAAGCTTTCGTTCACTTTCTTCTCTGCAATAATGGCATTTGCCAATCAGACTTCTACTTCTGTCCCGCCACCACAGACGATTCCGTATGTTCCTCCGCTTCCTCAGACCACCGCTGCTGATCTCGATCCCAACAGTCCATTCTTCATTCATCCAGCTGAGAGCCTTAGCCAGCAATTGGTTTCTCCTGTTCTTGATGAAACCAATTATTCAACTCGGCAGCGAGCGATGATTCGTGCTTTATCAACAGAGAACAAGCTGCAATTCCTCGACGACACCATCACGAAGCCCTCTCCTGGCGATCCTCTCCTTCGTGCTTGGTCAAGAAACAACACCTTGCTTCTTGGATGGATCCTTCGATCCATTTCTCCGTCGATTGCTCTAGGGTTTCAGTGGTTTAAAGACGCCCTAGTTGTCTGGAATGAGTTACGCAAACGATTTTCTCGCGGCAATAACTTCCGCATCACTGAGCTCCAAGAAGATCTCTTCCGCTTCAAGCAAGGCTCCCAGTCTGTAAGTGCCTAATTTACACAGATGACCACTTGGATGCATGAACTGGATAATTTCTTGCCGATTCCTCCTTGTCGATGCAATGGTCTTTGCAACTGTGGTTTAACTATAGTTCATCAGAATCATCAAGTCAACTATGTCCTTAGGTTTGTTAGGGGTCTCAACGATTCGTATGCTGCTGCTCGTTCCCAGATTATGTTGATAAACCCTACGCCTAGTCTAAACCAAGCTTTTGCTATGATCATTGAGCAAGAAAAACATAATCGTGTCTTAGCCCCACCTTCCTTGCCTGCTTCAATGGCGATGTACTCAAGAGGATTTACCCCTGGTAGGAATCCCACTAATCCTCCATCAAGATCTCCTTATCCTCCTTCCTCAAATTATCCACCACCACCTCACTCTGGTAGCAACAGACCCTACTGTACTCACTGTCATTCCTATGGTCACACTGTTGACAAGTGTTACAAGCTCCATGGGTTTCCTCCTGGGTACAAAGGCAAGGCAAAGGCTCACTGTGTGTCTAGAGAAGATGGTTAATGTGATGAACAACATCATTCACTTCCATTCCCACCTCAAGAATGGAGTCAGATACAAGAAACTTATCAAAAGATGACTCAGTTCATGCAGTCCCAGTACTTTCAACAGCAGTCTGACCCTGCTCAGGCTTCTAGTTCCTCTCAGTCTCATCCTCCTTACAACACTCCTACTGCTATCTCTGATATGCCAGTCTCTCATGGCCTCCCATATGCCAGTTAGGCATTCTCCATCACCACTCATGCTCTTCCTACACCACCAAGTAAGGTCACTGTTCTTCAATCCTCTTGTATGTTGGTTGAGGCATCTCCAAAATGGATTCTTGATACTGGTGCTACTAACCATATAGTTAGCTCTCTTAGAACTGTTTCACCTATATATGTTTACCTTCCTAATGGTGATAAAGCATTTATTACCCATATAGGACAGTGTGTTATATTCCCTTCCCTTACCTTACATGATGTCCTTCTAGTCCCTAGTTTTACATTTAATCTAGTATATGTAAGCAAACTGGAAGCCAAGGTAGCACTTGGACTGACCTTTGCTAGTTCTCATTACCTACTACAGGACCTCCAATCTCTGAGGACGCTTTGTATAGCTAATCTTCGAGATGGCTTATACCAACTAGATCCTCATGCTGCTTGCTTGTCTTCTCAACATAGCCTGTCATCTACACATATATCCAACTCTGTCCAAAACTCATCTTCCCCAAAATCCAATATTGATCTCTGGCATTATCGTATAGGACATCTACCCTATGCAAAACTACCTTTACTACATTCTATAGATCCTGCTATCACTATGAATAAGCAGTTTCATTGCTCTGTATGCCTCTGTGCAAAACAGAAATGATTACCCTATCCTATTAGTCAAACTATACCTGCTCAATGTTTTGATCTTCTACATATTGATATAAAGGGTGCAGCTTCCATTGCTTCTAATTCTGGTCATTTATATTTCCTAACAGTAGTTGATGATTACTCTAGGCATACATGGATTTTTCTAATGAAAACAAAATCAGAGGTTAGGCCTTTGTTAAAATCCTTTTACACGTTTATTTTAACACAATTTAATAAGAAAATCAAATCCATAATAACTGATAATGGTTAAGAATTCTTATACAGTGATTTTGACACTGAAAATGGTATTTTGCATCAACGTACTTGTGTTCAAACATCCCAACAAAATGGAATTGTTGAACGCAAGCACCAACATCTACTTGCCATGACACGAGCATTGCTTTTTCAATATTCCTTACCTTCTACTTACTGGAATCATGTAGTTATTCATTCTGTTCATCTTATTAATCGTCTCCCTTCTCCACTTTTAGCCAGTAAGAGTCCTTATGAGTTATTACATGGTCAGCCACCTAGTTATTCTCATCTTAGAGTATTTGGTTCTCTCTCTTATGCATCAACATTATCCCATAATCGATCCAAATTAGCACCACGAGCCATTCCTAGTGTTTTCTTAGGTTATGTTACAGGTACAAAAGGATATAAACTCCTTAATCTTCAAACCAAAGAGATTTTTCTATCTCGCGATGTAACTTTCCACAAAACCATTTTTCCCATTTGCTTCTCCCCAGCCCACTGCCACACCTCCATCTACTACTAACCCTACAAATTTATCCACCATAATCTCCTTTGACACACCTATCCACTTACACACCAGTATACTCCCCATTTTACAACCAGCACAACCACTTCCCATCCCTTCATCCTCTGATAACAGCATCCCTCTTCCCTCACCCAATCTTATCCCCAAACCAGAACAATCAGTGGAACCTCAGTTACACAGATCAACAAGACAAAGCAAAATTTCATCCTATCTCTCCAATTATCACCATAATCTCAAAACCACTGCCAATACTTGCCAATCCACAACAGAACCCCACTGTAAATATCCTCTAGAATCTGTTCTTTCTTACACTGATTTGTCACCTGCATATATGCACTTTGCATTAGCCATCATGAAAATTAAGGAACCTAAAACCTATAAGCAAGCAATTAAAAATCCAGAATGGGTTAAAGTTGTCCTCCTAGAGCTCAAAGCTCTTATAAACACCAAGACCTCGAAATTAGTTGACTTACCTCCTGGTAAGATCCCAATAGGTTGCAAATGGGTATTTAAAGTTAAATATAAGTCTGATGGATCCATAGAACGTTTCAAAGCTAGGTTAGTTGCCAAATGCTACACTCAAAACTATGGCCTATATTATTTTGATACCTTTAGTCCTGTCGCTAAGATTACCACCGTTAGAGCTTTACTAACTTTAGCTTCTATTAATAATTGGCACCTGCATCATTTAGATGTAAATACAGTCTTTTTACATGGAGACCTTGATGAAGAGGTATACATGGTTCTACCCCCTGGCCTAACTACTGATCCTGCTGATGCAAACAAAGTTTGCAAGTTAACCAAAAGTCTATATGGTCTGAAATCAGCCAGTAGACAGTGATTCCTCAAACTAACATCCACACTTATTTCCCTTGGTTATACACAGTCTAAATCGGATTATTCTTTGTTTATTAAAAATCAACCTACTACCTACACTGCTCTACTTGTCTATGTGGATGATATAGTATTAACTGGTAATGATATGTCTGAGATAAATAGGGTAAAAGAACATCTAGACAAAGCTTTTACTATAAAAGACCTAGGTAAGCTTAAATATTTTCTTGGGATGGAGATAGCTCGCTCTTCTGCAGATATACACATGAACCAGAGAAAATACGCTCTAGAACTTCTAGAGGACCAAGGCATGCTGGCCTCCAAGCCTGCCAACTCTCCTCTTGAGCCAGGACTACAATTATCTCAAACAGCAGGAGAACTTCTTTCTGAGGATGAAGCAACCAGCTACAGGACACTAGTAGGCCGATTGCAGTACCTCTGCAATACTCGACCAGGCCTCCATTTCGCTGTAAACTATCTGGCACAATTTGTCTCCAGTCCCAGAACTCCTCATCAGCAAGCAATTCAACGGGTTCTTCGTTACATCAAGGCAGCACCAGCACAAGGACTGTTCTTCTCCGCAAAGTCATCTGTTGATCTTCATGCATATACTGACGCGGATTGGGCAGGCTGTCTTAACACCAGAAGATCTACTTCGGGCTATTGTGTCTTCCTCGGACACTCTCTGATCTCCTGGGCTGCTCAGAAGCAACAGGTTGTTTCCCGCTCCTCAGCAGAAGCTGAGTATAGAGCTCTGGCAGAAACAATATGTGAGCTGCAATGGCTATCATCCCTGCTCAAGGAACTGCATCAGCAAGTACAACTACCACTATAGGTTCATTGTGATAGCAAATCTGCTATTCACATGGCGTCCAATCCAGTCCAGCATAAGCGCACAAAGCACATAGAGCTAGACTGCCATCTTAAGCGCGCAAATCTGCTATTCACATGGGTATCCATTTTTCAAGAACTTATCTCCAAGCTGCCCATCCATTCCATACATGGTCAGCTTGTCGGGGGAGGGGG